TCTATCATGCCATGTTAGAGACTCCACGGAGCTCTAACATACCATGTTAGAGTTCCCAGTGAGCTCTAACATACTCGAACATGTTATGTTAGAGCTCCGTTGGAGCCTTAACAAGCCATGTTCGGGCTCCCACGGAGCTCTAACATACCATGTTAGAGCTCCCAGGGAGCTCCCACGGAGCTCTAACATGATATGTTAAAGCTCCGTTGGGGCTCGGTGTGTTAGAGCTCCCAGGGAGCTCTAACATGGGAGCTCTAGCATAGCAGGTTAGAGCTCCCAGGGAGCTCTAACATACTCGAACATGCTATGTTAGAGCTCCCAGGGAGCTCTAACAGGCGATGTTAGAGCTCCCACGGAGCTCTAACATACCATGATAGAGCTCCCAGGGAGCTCTAACATACTGGAGCATGCTAGGTTAGAGCTCCGTTGGGGCTCGAACATGCCATGTTAGAGCTCCCACGAAGCTCTAACATACCATGTTAGAGCTCCCAGGGAGCTCTAACATACTCGAACATGCTATGTTAGAGCTCCGTTGGAGCTCTAACAAGCCATGTTAGAGCTCCCACGGAGCTCTAACATACCATGGTAGAGCTCCCAGGGAGCTCCCACTGAGCTCTAACATGCTATGTTAAAGCTCCGTTGGAGCTTGGTATGTTAGAGCTCCCAGGGAGCTCTAACACGGGAGCTCGAATATAGCATGCTAGAGCTCCCAGGGAGCTCTAACATACTCGAACATGCTATGTTAGAGCTCTGTTGGAGCTCTACACAAGCCATGTTAGAGCTCCCACGGAGCTCTAGCATACCATGTTCGATCTCCCAGGGAGCTCTAACATACTCGTACATGCTATGTTAGAGCTCCGTTGGAGCTCTAGCAAGCCATGCTAGAGCTCCCACGGAGCTCTAACATACCATGTTAGAGCTCCCAGGGAGCTTCCACTGAGCTCTAACATGCTATGCTAAAGCTCCGTTGGAGCTCGGTATTTTAGAGCTCCCAGGGAGCTCTAACATGGGATCTCTAATGTAGAACGTTAGAGCTCCCAGGGAGTTCTAACATACTCGAACATGCTATGTTAGAGCTCCGTTGGAGCTCTAACAAGCCATGTCAGAACTCCCACGGAGCTCTAACATACCATGTTAGAACTCCCAGGGAGCTCTAACATACTGGAACATGCTATGTTCGAGCCCCCAGGGAGCTCTAACATACACGAATATGCTATGTTAGAGCTCCGCTGGGGCTCTAACAAGCCATGCTCGAGCTCCCACGGAGATCTAACATGCCATGTTAGAGCTCCCAGGGAGCTCTAACATACCATGCTAGAGCTCCCACGGAGCTCTAACATACCATGTTAGAGCTCCCAGGGAGCTCCCACGGAGCTCTAACATCATATGTTAAAGCTCCGTTGAAGCTCGGTATGTTATAGCTCCCAGGGAGCTCTAACATGGGAGCTCTAACATAGCATGCTAGAGCTCCCAGGGAGCTCTAACATACTCGAACATGCTATGTTAGAGCTCCGTTGGAGCTCTAACAAGCCATGCTAGAGCTCCCACGGAGCTCTGACATGCCATGTTAGAGCTCCCAGGGAGCTCTAATATACTGGAACATGCTATGTTAGAGCTCCGTTGGAGCTCTAACATGCCATGTTAGAGCTCCCACGGGGCTCTAACATACCAATGTTAGATCTCCCAGGGAGCTCTAACATACCCAACATACTATGTTAGAGCTCCGTTGGAGCTCTAACAAGCCATGTTAGAGCTCCCACGGAGCTCAAACATACTGGAACATGCTGATGGTATGGGTGGTGATGATGATGATGATGCTGATGGGGATGGTGATGATGGTATGGTGAGGGCGGTTGTGATGGTGATGATGGTGATGTTGATGATGGTCATTTTGGAAGTGATGAGCACCACCATCATCACCATCATCATCGCCACCACCATCAGCAGTACGATTTGATAACCACCATCATTACAATCGTTGTCGGCCCAAGGCGGACGATGATGAATATCATGACGACGATGATGACGATGATGATGACGATGGTGCAAAAACAGGTTGAGTCGGTTGAGTCCGAAAACCCCGCCCTAAATCAAGCCAGATTGTTTTTCCATGGGAAAGCGTATATTTTTAGCATGTGCGCTTTGTCGGCTTTCACGGCGTTGACGACGGCCTAAGAGGCCCCCAAGACCGCCCCAAGACGGCCCAAGGGGCTCCCAAGAGGCCCCCAAAACGGCCCAAGATGGCCCCAAGACGGCCCAAGAGGCGTTCAAGACGGCCCAAGAGGGCGCCAAGACGGCCCCAAGAGGGGGACCACACACCGAAAAGTCTAGCCTTTCGCCCCAAGACGCTCCCAGGAGACCCCCATAGCCCCCCAAGAAGCCCCAAGAGTCCCCGAAGAGGCGTCCCAAGAGGCCACCGGGAGGCGAAAATCATTGATCTCATATGGGAAAGGGTATATTTTTAGCATACAAAGCTTTTCGGCTTTCACTGCGTTGAAGACGCTCCAAGAGGCCCCCAAGACCGCCCCAAGACGGCCCAAGAGGCTCCCAAGAGGCCCCCAAAACGGCCCAAGAGGGCGCCAAGACCGCCCAAGAGGCTCTCAAGACGGCCCAAGAGGGCCCCAAGACGGCCCCAAGAGGGGGACCACGAACCGAAAAGTCTAGCCTTTCGCCCCAAGAAGCTCCCAGGAGGCCCCCAGATCCCCCCAAGAAACTCCAAGAGGCCCCCAAGGGGTTCCCAAGAGGTCTCCAAAAGGGCCCGACAAGGGGTCCAATAGGACTCCCAAGAAGGCCCAGAGACGCCAAATAGAGAGCGATCGGTAACGCAAAAAGCTCTTCACACCAAGGCTCCCAAGAGCGAACGGTGACGTAAACAAGCTGATAAGACCAAGGCTCCCAGCAGAGAGCGGTGACGTAACAAGTTCCTGACACCAAGGCCCAGCCAAGGCTCAGGAACGGGCGGCAACGCAACAATCTCTGAACACGAAGGCTACCAAGAGCGAAAGGTGACGTAACGAGCTCTCAACGCCAAGGCTCCCAGTACGAACGGTGGTGTGAGTCATTTCGATTCATTTGTTTGAAGCGCTCTTTCCGTTTCTGTGCCGGGCCAGGTCTATTGGCATTGGTCAGGATCTATTAATGCACCAGCGCCCCGAATTTGCGAATCAGAGTGGCGAGTGAGGGAGGGCGAGCGTGGTTGGAGGCTCATGCGAAAAGGGCCGGAAGGGCAGGGAGGAGAAAAGGGTAGTGAAGTAAGCTGGAAAGGCGGATGGCAGATGTGGGGCGTGCTCTTCATCTCACCAGCGCGCGTCCCTCCTAGGGTTGGGACTTGATCTCCTTATGCGTCGATGTGTTGCCCCCCACGTGTTGCGCCACGTGTTGCCCCCAAGTGTCGCCCCCAAGTGTCGCTCCGAGGTGTCGCCCCCATGTATTGCCCCCATGTGTTGCCCTCGCGTGTCGCCTCCTAGTGTCGCCCCCTGAGGCCCGGCCCTCCATCCTGCCACGAGCGGGCAGGGAGAATGCAGGGCAGTTCGACCTCCTCACTCTGAAACGCATATATGTGCATGTGCATCTGTTCAGTGTGCCTTGGAAACGCCCAGAGCGTTTCTTTCTAGTTTCCAGCTTTAGTGTCTTGTGATTCAACAGCCGAGACCTGCAAACTATAAAGGACGGAACCCGGTAACTATGAAAAGCGTTTCCGCACGATCATTTGGAAATTACTCTAAACGAATCGGGGCGCGGTAAGACACCGCCCCCCTGGAAACTTAAACAGCGGGTTGGTGAGCATTGGGCACAACACGAGAGTGCCGATGATAATGAATACGGGGCGGCGCAGCGGGCATCAGAAGCAGCAGGCAGTACCAGCAGGCAGCAGCAGCAGGCAGTAGCAGCACCAGGCAGCACAGGAAGAAGTTGGCGGCTGTAGCGGGCAGGAGGGGCAACAGAGAAGTCTATTGGAGAAAATGTCGAGCTCTTATCGCGCGTTACCTGTCAGTCTTTGTCCGACCCACCAGAGTCAGGGATCAAAAATGCGTTGCAAGCGTCTTGGAAACGTACTGGAATCGGTCTCAAACAGGCAACTTCGTCCCTTGGCCCAGGGAAGACGGAAACATTGAGGTTGTCGCCTGTGACACCGACGATGTCTCCGGCTCCGACGCGCACCCCAGGAGGTCGGCCAGCGATTGACAGGCAACGCACGATAAGAGCTCGACACTCTGTCCAAAAAGGCTTCTTTGGTGCACCTGCTGCCCGCTGCAGCCGCCAACTCCCTGCTTGATCGTGTCTGCCGTTTCCTGCCGCTCGCTGCTATTTGCTTCGTCTTGCTGCTGTTTCCTATTGGTGCCTTTGTACCGCTAGGTGATTGCCAACCACCAGACAAAACAATACCAGAAAACATAAAGCACAATAATACCGGAAACAACAGAGCATGATGCGAGACAGACCTGGAAACGGTGAAAAACAAATGCTGGAAACTATGAAACACGTCCCCTCGGATTGGCGTCGGAAAGGATCAAAAGACGGATCGCCACGGAGACCTGGAAACGACTAAAAAATTGCATCCAGAAATTATTGAAAAACGAGTTGTTGAATGCAAGTTTGAGACGAAAGAAACGCCCTGGGCGTTTCCAACGCACACTAAGTGCATAAGTACTGCCATGTAGACAGACTTGCACATCTATGTGTATATATGTATATAGATATGTGTATATACACACACCTTGTGTGAGTGGCCGCCTCCAGCGCCGGGAAGCGCTGAAAAACAGTCGCATGCAGCTGATTCGCCGACATTCCCTGTGCTGTCCCCCTTTCGTCTGTCCGAGCGGTTTCTGCTCCGACGACAGAGGGCGAGCAACTCGCAGCCTCCTGTTTGCCCTGGCGGCCCGGACCATCGATGCCATGTTGCATTGCGAGTTTTCATGTCCCCAGGGTTGTCCGCAGTAGGCGGAGGAGGAGGATGAGGAGGAGGAGGAGGAGGAGGACATTTGCTCTCAGCGAAAGAGCGCCGGCGCGCAGGCAGCCGCGGCGCAAGCCCGCGCACGAGGGGCTGCCATAGCCCACGGAGGGCGGGGTGGTGTTCTGGTCCGGCAGCGCCGTGCCGCGCGCGTCGTCTTGTCTGCTTCAGACATCTGGCGCCTCAAGAAAATCGAGGCTCCCAGTTTGAAGTTTTGTCCTTTGGAGGTCAGCTTCGTTCCTGGGGGCAATCAGAAGCTGGTCGGAATGAAAATCCTGGCCCTAGGGAAGGAGTCGAACGACCCGTTGACCCAAAAGCACAACGTCGAAGGTCTGACCTTTTCTGGGTATCTCCCGGGACCGTCCCCCCGGGCGGGGAGGGGACAAAGGGAAGGGCCTCCCTTCGACGTAATCACGACATTGCTCGATCCCCAGTGTTTGTTTGTTCGCCCTTACGACGACGACGATTCGAAGGAGGTTAGCGTATCTCAGTTTGGGTTGGGACGGCCTCGCGTCGAAGGGCCTCTCACACAGGCCGACTGGGTTAACGGATTCTACCTCTCCCACCGAGGGAGGATCGAGTCTTGACGCGGTTGGGCCTCCAGAGGCATTCGGAGAGGACCTTTGCGGACCTCTGGAGACTTGGGCGGCGCCGTTTCTTCCTCCTCCTCCTTCTCCTCCTGCCCGGTACATCGTGGCGGTCATGGGCTATGAAAAATTGGCACGTCCATAGGACCAAAAAGGATGTTTCGCAAGAGAGGACCTCACACGGGCACGAACGGGCCACTGTCATATCCTTCGGCCGCTCCGCATGGGGATCTGGAAAGGGACGCGTCTTCTGGGCCAAAGCGAGTGTTTCGCTAGAGAGGTCCCCACACATTGGGTGCGAACGGTCCAGTATCTTACCCCCTGGTGGCTCCCCCGCGGGAGACCCAAGTGCCATGCTTGCTACATCGTGGTGAGTTTTGGGCTGTGAGCGTCTACTTGGCCAAAACAGGTTTTTCGCTCGAGAGTTAGATCCCTGCAATTTGGGCGTGGACTGGCCCATGTCATACCCTTCTTCGCTGCTCGCACTTGGGGGAGGGGGCTGAGCGCCATGCTTGCTGCTTGCTGCGTCGTGGTGGTCATGGGGCTGTGAAAAGAGAAGTCGATTGGGTGCGAACGGGTCCGTGTTATACCCTCATTGCTGGTTACTTGTGGGAGGCCCAAGCAAGCGACATGCTTGCTATATCGCGGGAATCATAGGGCTCTTTCTGAAAGAGACACGCCTACCGGGCCAAAGTTGGCGTGTTGCTTGAGAGGCCCCATAACCCGGGCGCGCAAGGGCTGGTGTCATACCCTTTGTCGGTTCAGGCTCAAGCGACATGCCTGCTGCATTCCGATGGTAATGAGAAATCGTGGAGCTCTGAGTGATCTGAATGGAGGTGGGTCGGGGTATACGTGGCTGACTATGGTGAATATGAGTATGAGATGGTCTCGGTATGAGTGAGTTCGAGAGTGCTCTCGTCCGAGCATGAGAAGGAGCGCATTATGTGGGCGCTTGGGGGTGGGGCGGGGCGAACCCCCCCCTGGGCTGCGCCGGCGCCGGCGCCGGCGGCGGTTGTCGGCGGCGGCGGGGAACGTCGACGCGGACGACGATTCATCGGGGGAGTGGGGGTTCGAACCCCTCCCCCCCTTTCTCCAGGCCGGCGCCGACGCCGGCGCCGGCTGGCGGCGGTGGCGCCGGCTGTGACGACAACGACGACCACGGCGACGACGGCGACCCACTACGAGGACGACGACGACAAGCACGACGACTAAGGCGGCGACGACGGCGACGACGACGACGATGACAAGCACGACGGCCACGATGGCGACGACGACGACAACGAAGACGGAAAAGACGACGATGACTACGACGTCGACGATGGCGACGACGACGGCGACGGCGACGACGACGACAATGACGACGGCGACGACGACGATGCCTGCGACGACGACGACGACGACGACTACGACGGCGACGACGACAAAGAGCACGATGACGACGGCGACGACGGCAACGGCGACGATGGCGGCAACGACGACGACGACGACGCCGACGACGACGATGTCGACGCCGGCGATGGCGACCACGACGAAGACCACGACGACGATGACGACGACGACGACGATGACGACGACGAGCACGAAGCACGACGACATCGACGACGACGACGGCGACGACGACGGCCACGACGACGACGGCGACGATGGCGACGACAACGACGACGAAGACGACGCCGGCGACGGCGACCACGACGACTTCGAGCATCACCACGATGAGCACGACGACGACGGCGACGACGACGACGACGAAAACGAGGACGACGGCGATGACGGCGATGACGGCGCCGACGACACCGACGACGACTACGGCGGTGACGAAGACATCGATGATGACGACGGTGACGACGACAACGACGACGACGGCGACGGCGACGACGAGTTGGCAGAGCAGCTCACCGCCAAAAAGGTCCCCAAAGCAGAGCAGCCCACCGCCAGGATGCAGAGTTTGCGCCTTATGGTGCGAGGGTGGCCTCGGCACGACGAAGGGGCCCGCCCCGGAAGGCTTCGACATGGCAGGCGACGTACTCGAGCCTCGGCAGGATGCGCGCACGCTCGGGCGTTCGCAGATGGGGACTGCCCAGGTCTCCGAGTCCATCAAGAGTTTTTTGCTCAAGCGGGGCGCGAGCCTCGCGCAGGCGGACCCGCGCTTCCCTCTGATGGCGTCTTGCTTCGAGGGCATGATGGGCGAAGCTGGGGCGGCGTGCCTTGAGGAGTGCGTCCGGATCCTGCTGCCCACGTCTGCGAAGGCATTGGACATCGCTGAGGTGGCGAAGGGGCTGCGGGGATTACAGAGCACAGGAATCTACGCCTTCTGCGACGACAAGGGCCGGGCCGTGGTGGACAACACCTTGAATTTCATCAACAAGATCCAGGAAAGGAGGGCGCCGCAGTTTCTGAAGAACGCCACCCCGTCCATGGCGTCGGTGAAAGATGCCCTGAAGTTTTTCTGCGCGCGGGGCGTTCACAACAATATGGTGCCGATGGTACTTCCCGTGGCCGTTGCGCTCAGAATTGCGACTGCCACGACGGAGATGGCCACGACAATCACGGTAGGTGGCCGGGACTGGCAGGTGCGACGGCGCATGCTGGCTATGATCGCGGCAGCGTTGGCGATGATGTCAGCGGCAGTGTCGCTGTCAGTTTTGGCGGCGGCGATGGCGATGAAGCGTTCGATAGTCGTCGTGGTGATGCTGGTAGCGACAGCGATTGCGATGGCGACGTAGTGGTGGTTGGCAGCGCGATCGTGGGGCACGGGGACTGGGGGTGGCAATTTCTGGAAAAAAGCGAGGTACCACCGAGGGCGGCCATAATAATATATTGACCGGAAAGGCCGCGATAGATCACATCGTGGACCGTTTGATCAATATGGGTAACAAGGGGAACATCACCTACGACGATCTCGAGTTGCTGACGGATCACCAGCGGTTGCCCGACGAGCCGCAGACCACGGCATACAACGAGCATTACACTATCGCTCGGGAGAATGAATGCAACAGTTTATCCACGGCAGCGGGCAAGGCGTCCACAGGAAAGCGAGCGACCTCGTCGTCGGCCGCCTCGTCTGGGCCAGCCGCCAAAGTCGCCGAGACCGACGGCGGCAAGTCCAAGAAGCCGTCCGAGGTGTCGAAGACATTGGCCATGTTCAACGGCTGCAAGCTGTTCAAGAAGGCTCCGTGAAAATATGATGCTTTCGCCGCTTCGCCACGTCGGGCCCTTGGCCCCCATGGGCCGATGGGGGCCGCGTGAGCCACTCGGACAGGGGCCTGGTTGCTGTCCAACTCTCTGGGCCCTAAATGGTGCGGGGTGCAGTTCCTCGTCAAACGTGCTTGGAGGCGCGGCATGACTGGCCGCGCCCGTTCAGGTTCGCAGCAGCCGCGCCTACCTGCGGCTTGCGATCGCTCGCCTGGCTCGCTCGGTTTGCCAGGGGGGCGGGGGCAGAGGCCGCGGAGGTTGCGAGGCGAGGGGGGAGGGGGGGGGTCCGAGTCGGCGGAGGAGAACGGGGCGGAGGAGTCGGAGGACGGGGGGGGGCAACTGAGGTTAAGGCGGAGGCGGGGCAGAGGAGGGCGAGGAGGAGAACGAGGGCGAGGGCGACGGGGAGAAGGCGGAGCAGAGGAGGACGAGGAAGAGGATCAGGAGGGTCTTTCAACAGTTGCACTTGGCTGGCGCGCGCTGGGGCCCCACGGGCCGGGGCAGTTTTCCGTTGCCGGCGCGTGGTGGCGGGGGGGGGGGAGGGGTGGGGGTCATCGCAATCTTCTCAGGGGATGCATTGGCGCGTCGTCCGCGTGAAAATCGCTGCCGCTGCCGTCGTCGGTGCAGCTGCGTTGCCCAGTTTGTCTCTGCGTTGAGAGCCCTTGTTTCTCCCCCGCGCCGTCTCCGACAGCTGCTCAATCGCGAGCGCGGCCGAGTCGTCGACGTTCTAGCCCCGACCCGCCGGGCAAGCGCAGAAGCTTCATCCGCGTGGGCGTGGGCGCTATCGTTCGCAGTTGCATTCGTAAAGGTAAGCATGGACACACCCACGCGTAGCCCGCAATAGTATAGCGTCCCACATCGCATCGCACAATACCTGCGCAGTGAATCGCCCGAGTTCCCATCGTGCCATCTGCGCCGCAAGGCCGGCAGCGCCCCTGCAGGATCAGGCAGTCGCGGACGCGACCCTAGAGAGAGAGTTGGGGGGGGGCAAGCGCGGGGTTCAGGGATGAAATCAAGAGCAGTAGGTCTGTCATTTGCCGAGGCTTCTGCGTGGGGGTGCGGCCCGGCGGATTTCCTCCAGGATGGGGGTCTACTGGCCGGCGGAGTCTCCCTTGGCAGCGTGGGGGGTCTACTGGGAGGGGGTCGCCGCCCCGTGCGCGCGGGGGAAATGCGCGAGCGCCGGGGCGCAGGGGGAAATGCCGCAGGGGGCGCGCCCCATGGGGGTTCTTTCCCTGAGGAGGCCCGCGACGCGCAGCGTTGGGGCCCGGCGACGTGCCGGCGGATGCGACGCGCGTGCGTTTTGCGATCGGCCACGCGGCCGGGACAGAGAAAGGCGCTCGGGGTCGACGTTCTTCGGCCGAGGATTGCCGGCGACATCTCGGTGGAAGTCGGCGGAGATAAAACGGGGGAGGGAGGGGTTGCGAGCCCTTTCGGCGACATTGGGGCTCAACTGCGGGGGCCGCGAGTGTTGTTGCGGTTCCCGCCGGGCCGCTGTCGATGTGGAAATGCGGGGTGGGCTATCGTTTAGATAGGTAATGGTTTCGGCGAAACGCGACTACGCGATTTCACGCGCTCGGCGCGTCGCCCCCGCGGGGCCGGATTTCCCCCCCGGGTTTCGGCCGCGTTCGCCGGGCAGCCTCCGCGCTAAAACCTCAGCTTTTTCCTTGCGTCTGCCGTCGCGCGCGCGCTGCAGTCCACGGGGGGGGAGGTGGCGCGACGCGCGGAGCAGCGTCGCGCGCCCGTCGGGGCTCCCGGGGCCGATTGGCAGCTGACCAATTTTCTGCCCGCGCCCGGGCCCCCGCGCCTCACTGGCGCCCTGCCGAGTTTTCGGGCGCTTCGCTGCTTCGCGAGGTGACCGCCCCAAAAGGCATTTTCCTTGGATGGGGCGGAGAAGGGCTCGCTGGGAGGGTCATCTGGCCGACGGGCTTTCCCGTGGGATTGGGGGCGGGCCCGAGGCGCGCTTGCGTTCCTTGCCCCGCGCCCGCTGGAAAAAAGCGCACGGGTGCCAGAATTCAAAGGGGCGCGCCCAGGCCGACGGCGGCGCCCCCCGCGCCCATGGACTGCAGCACAGGCAACGCCTTGAAAGGTCCGAGCCACTGGCGACGCCCCGAGGTCCAGAGTTGCCAGCAACGCTGCCCGTTCTGAGGCAGTGGGCAACCGCGTTCGCACTGCATGAGGTGACCCGCCGAGTCTTCCCAAAGCGTCGAGCTCGAACGTGTCTTCGTTGCCATGATCGGCCACGCGTGTCCGCGTTTCAAGGGCAAGCACTTCGACGATGCCCCGTGCCGTCGCATGCCGCGCCGCGCTGCGGCGTCGCGATGCATCAGGCGGCGGCGCGCTATATATCGTTATGACCTGCCACGGGCCCCACAACATTACGCGGCGGCCATTCCCTGGTGCGCCGCGGCGCGGCACTGCGCGATCGCCATTGTTAGGGCAAATAAATATTCGCGAGGCCGTGCTGAGATTATCCGCTTGGTTTGCGCGGCGCGCCGGCTCGAGCAAGTCCTATCGCGTTCGTGGCCGCTGTCTTCGGAAAGTCATATTGATGCATAGCTGCGGACCCTGCGTGGCCTTCGCATTCTGCTGCGCAGCGAGAGTCGGCTTCGAATGCCGCCTCGCAGAAACGTGTTTTGTTGTTCTACCCCTGCTTAATTATCCCCGTAGCTCTGGGGTCTCATCCGAGTGAACGCATGCCAACGCGTGCGAATGCATGCCAATTCATGCCAAGGCATGTCAATGCATGCCAACGCATGTCAATGCATGCCAACGCATGCCAACCCATGCCACTGCATGCCAAATCATGCCACGGCATGCCAGCGCATGCCGGCGCATTCCCCTGCATGCCGACGCATGCCAGCGCATGCCGCTGCAGTCCCTTGCTTGCCGCCAACGCATGCCAAAACATACCAGAGTAACTATGCCAAGGCATGCCCGTGCATGCCAAAGCATGCCAACGCATGTCAGTGCATTCCAGCACATGCCAACGCATGCCAGTGCATGCCCATGCAAGCCAACGCGTGCCAATTCATGCCATCGCATGCCAACCCATGCCATTGCATGCCTGCGCAGACCAATGCATGTCAACGCATGCCTCCGCGCGCCAACCCGTCGGACACATGCCAATGCATGCTAACGCATGCCACGACATGCGAATGCATGCCACGGCATGCCAGCGCATGCCAATGCATGGAAACGCATGCCAGTACATGCCCACTGCGTGCCAAGGCGTGCCCTTGCATGCACATACATGCCAACGCATGCCAACCCATGCCAATGCATGCCAACGCATGCCAGCCCATGCCAACCCATGCCAACGCATGCCAACGCATGCCAGTGCATGCCAGTGCATGCCACTGCATGTCAATGCGTGCCAACGCATGCCACTGCATGCCACTGCGTGCCACTGCATGCCACTGCATGACAATGCATGCCAACGCTTGCCAAAGTATGCCAAGGCATGCCACTGCATGCCAATGCATGCCAATGCATGCCAAATCATGCCAATTCATGCCAACGCACGCCAATGCATGCCAACGCATGCCAATGCATGCCAGGGTTAGGGTAACCTGTGCGGAGAAAAGAGTTGTCTTGTCAGGTTAGGGGTAACACACGGGAAGTGCTGCCCTGTTAAGGGTAGCATTTGGAGCGGGAAGATTGGTTTGTCGGGGGGGTAACCCAGCAACCTACAGGCCGCAGCAGGGCAATGCCGAGGCGTTGGCGAATTTTTTTGTAGGCGACCGAGCCCCACGGGCAGGCGGAAAGACCCGCTGCGACCGGCGCCTCCCCCACGAGTGGGGAGTGCTTGACGGGCAGGGCTCCCTGCACGCCCCAGGGACCAGCGAGCCCGCCCGAGCGGGACGGGGAAAAGGCCGCGCCGAACGGGCAGGGCCCCCCCGCACACCCAAGGGACACGGGCAAACAAAAACGGAGAAGCGGACCCCGGGGCCGACGACACGACGACGACGATGACGACGACCACGTTCACGACCACGACCACGACCACGACCAAGGCCACGACACGACGACAACGACGGTAAAAATGGAGGAGGAGGAGGAGGAGGAGGTCCAGGAGTGGGACGAGGAGAATTAAAAGGAGGAGGCACAGGAGAAGAGAAAAGGGATAGCGTAAACATGAGGAGCAGGAGGAGGACGAGAAGGAGGAGGAGGAGGACACGCGTAGAAGTGTACACCTGTTTAGTTATTCTGTCGTCGTTGGCCAGGGCTCGCTAGAACCCAGGCGCGCGCGAAGCGCGCGCGTGGTCCCAGTATCTGTGTAGATCGATGTATGTATATGTATACACATGTATACATCAGTACGATACGCCCATGGGGCAGTTGGGATATCAAGGAGATCCACGCCATTCCGCCGACTTGCAGGAACATTTGCGAAGGTGTCCTGGGACTCGGAACCCCAGTGCGCGCTGCCTGTCCTTCGGGGTGTTTGCCGCGGCCACGATAGTTTTCGACATTGCACATGTCGTTTCGTGGTGGTCCCGGATGGCGTTGTTGCGTGTTCTCGGAGCAGAGGCGTAGGGGGGTGTTCGGAGAAAAACACGGAGCAGGTGGAGGAAAAGGCTGAGAACAAGGAGAAAGGGGAAGAGGAGGGGTAAAGGGGGCTGGGGGAGGAGGAGAAGGAACATGGAGAAGGGCAAGGTAGGGGAGGAGGAGGAGGAGGAGGAGGAGGAGGAGGAGAAGGAGGAGGAGGAGGTGGAGGAGGAGCGGAGGGGGAAATGGAGGAGGAGGAGGAGGAGGAGGGAATAATGGAGCGGGAGGAGCAGATCAAGAGAGAGAGAGAGAGAGACAGAGGAGAAGGGGCAGGGAGCAGGGAGCAGGTGAGCAGGGAGCAGGAGAGGAGCAGGAGGAACGCAGGAGGCCAGAGGTAGCTCAGAGCTGACGAGCGGGGGCATGCCGCCGGAGGGAGCCTTCGGGGCGCCCATCGGGGCCGGGGGGCAGGACGCCGACGCGGCCTGGGGCCCACGCGGCCGCCGCGCTGAGCTCGCTGCCCGCGGCCACGCCCGAGCGCCACCCGTTCCTGGCCCGCCGCCCCCGCGACGGCCGACGACCATCTGCGACGGCGGCCTCTCCCCCTTCGCTCCTCGCCCCCTTCGCGGCGATGCGGCGCGATCTTGCGTCCCCATCTGCTCGGACCCCTTCCGGGAGGCTTCTGCGTATGTCCGCCCTCCCCTCGCTTCTCATCCCTCTCCTCTCTCCCTTGCTGCTTCCGATCCCCCATATGTCACAGCACGCGTATCCCTTCAGGGCCTGTCTGGACCTTGCAGCAGCCGAGCTGTTCAAGCGAACGGGGAATCACTTAGCCGACTTAGGTGCGAAGGCGGCAGCGAGCCTCTACCCGAGTCATTGTGAGATGTTGGCCACCACCGACAGGCAGGTAAAACGGAGGAAGGGCAGCCGACGTATCTACCCCTGCAGAAGGCAGGGCGAGCGCATAAACTTCAATGTATATTTGTGTGGATTGCAGATGTATGGTGTTGCGAGGTGTGCTTCCGTCCGACACGTTGCCGCCATAGATCATCCAATCAGGCCGCCACCACGCGTGTGCAGTGGTGTAGTGTTAGACCTAGACATAGACAGCATCTTTGAGCACCGGCATAGTTTGGCTACATTCAATTGCTCGGACAAGTGTAAGCTGCCTATGTGTGTTCATTGCGCGTCCTGCGTCTCGACGCGCTCGCGTGGCAAACCGAACTTGTATTTGAAGGTGTGCCCCCGTGTGATGGACTCCAGGCACCAAGGTTTTCGCCGTGCTCGTGCCGCTTGTGTGTGTGTGTTTTCTGTTCCCCTTTCCTGCAGGGCCACCCTGGTCTAGTGGGCGCATGTAGCAGCTGCGTGAAGAAGGGGATCTCAGGGCCTGAGCTTGCTTGCCACCGCCATGTCTAGGGCGGGTGTCCCTGGCCCGTCTTGGTTAGACGGCCGAGGGCTCTCCGCGTCCTTGCGCGTGGTGTCTCTCAGTTCGCATCAGCGTGAGCAGCTTTGACGCTGCCCAGCTGGGTCTCTCCAGCTGGGCATGTTTGTTCTCTTTCGTGTCGCACCATGCAGAGATCAGTTTCAGTCATTTGCTGCTGTCTGTGATTGCGCCGGTGTCTCGGGGTGTCTTATTCGGCACGCAGTCGCTCGTATATTCGAAAATCCCCTGCCCCCTCCTCCTTCCTCTTCCAATCCCCCTTAGCTTCTTGTCCCCCGTCGTCTCTGCCCCTGATCTCTTCTCCCCCTGCTGATGCTGCTGTTCATCTTTCCCCTCTTTACTCTCCTGGTCTCCCAGGGAAGACTTTGATTCGATCGATCCGATTCGATATCGATTTTGACCCGCTCGATCCGATTCGATTCTGATGCTCTGAGGATCTGGGGCGGCCCGATGCTAGCAAGGGCGCTGTTGCGCATCTTGGCGCGGCCGATCCGATTCCAATTTCGTGCCGATGCAGCCCGTTCCAACGCGCATTCCTATTCGATCCGGCTTCCCGACTCGATGCTGATCGATCCTGTCACAACCGAGACTTACTCAGCATAGAGGAGACGGGCTCTGGGGGAAAAGTCAAGGGAGGAACAATCACCCAGTCCGGCTTTTCTAAACGGCCCTGGGCGTTTACTAGAAGGTTCTACCCTGTTCGATTCCTTTCCTGGGTGCGCTTAATAAGTGGCTTCGCTTGTCGGTGGGCGTTTTTTGAGGGTGGCTGTTCTGCTTTCTCTCTCTCTCTCTCTCTTTCTTTCTTTCTCTCTCTCTCTCTCTCTCAATGAGGTTCCGAGGTTTGCCGCCGCGTTCGACCTCTGGCGGCTGTGGCTGGGCTCTGGGGGCGATCGAAACGAGCGACTCGGGTGCGGAGCGGGGTCCCTCGGGGGAAAGCCCATGGGCTCCAAGGTTGAACGGTCCCCGCGGTGTCAGTAACCAACTCTGGGATCGACACGACGCGAATCTGCCGCGCATGCAGCAGTGCTCCCTAGTCCCTGGCGGGGCATTCTGCGGTGCGTGCCAGCTCGACCGGGTAGTCACGCCGCTGCTGCTTCGGACAGCAAGTGCGGATCTTTTGCTCGCGGCTGGCGGCCGCGTCTCCAAGCGGCTTGAAAACGTGACTCCTTCTCTTAAGTAGTGGGTCATCGTTATTGCTCGGTGTGATGCCTCTTTCTCCTTCCACTTTCTCGCCACCTCCTTCCGCCTCCCACTCATGCTCAGACACGCTCACGATCATCTTCACACTTGTAGATTCACACATGTATTCAGGCTCACCCATACCCAGACAACTCACACTCGAACCCACACATACACACACTGACAATCACCCACACACCGACTCACCCACACGTGAGCACACTCATACTCATGCGCACATGCTCAGGCTCACTCTCTGGCTTCTCTTTTGCACACGCTCACCCGCACTCAGATCTACTCACGCTCCGATTACGCGTACGTAGCCTCTCTCACAAACCAACTGCTCATACCCTGACTTACTCAGATTTTGCCATTACCAGAGTGATTCATATTCAGAGGCACACAGCACCGCGATGTAGTAAGCATCGCGTTTGGGGCTCCCAGGGGGGAGCCGCCAAGGGGTATTGCACGGTCCCGTTCGCGCCCAGATTTTGGGGTCCTATCAGACGAGACGCTTGTTGTAGCACAGTGGTCGGGCCTCTTTCCAAAGCCCCATGATCACCGCGATGTTGTAGGCATGGTGCTGGGACATCCAAGGGGAAGCCGCCATGGGATACTCACTCATACACGGACTCACTTACATTCAGCCCGACTCGCGCTCAGTCAGCCGTATTCAATCTCATTCACATTCAGACTCGCTCTGATTAGGACGTTCGTAATAATGGAACTCGCTAGAAAATTGTTGCATGTCTCCGGGAATCGAGGCTCGCCGTGGCCAGGAAGGCCCTTGCGTTCCTTGTTCGGCGCTTCTTGTTGCAGCACGCTCACCGTATGCGGCCCTCTCTTTGACCACCTCCCTGCGATCTGCTCCCTTTGCGAGGGAAGTGGCGGGGGCGCAGCTCCCGAGCCTGTACTAGCAGCAGCGTGCGGCAACGAGACACACCGTCCTCGTCCTCGCCTTTTTCTTCGGCACCGCCTCCTCTCGGCGGCGAGCCAGGGGGGAAGTGAGAAGGAGACGGCCTTCTCGGAAGGCGGCGGGGCTTCTCAGAGGCATACCAGCTTCCTGAGAAGTTCTCCGTGTCTTCGGGGAAGGCTCAGAAAACCTATTCGGAAGGCCTTGGGACTTCCATCTTCCCTCTCGGCACCGCTCCCTCGTCCCCAGACTTGCGACGTCCTGATTTTTCCATTGGTCCCTGGAGGTCTCGACCTTTTTCTCGGGACCGCTTTTTCATCCCGAGTCGTTTTTTCACGGTCCCGAGGCCCGGTAAGGGCCCCTGGAGGCAGGACATGACGAGAGAAACAAATATGTCATGATTTTTTCACGACGCGAGCACGTCTGGGTCTTGCGTGCTGGGCAAGCCGCCCGCCCCGCCCCGCCGCCCCCCCCTGGGCAAGCCGCCCGCCCGCCACTGACTCCGCCGCTCGGGGGCGCCCCGCGCCCCCAGCGCGGGGCACCGCCGCCCACCTGGTCCTCTCTCGACGATACGTGACCCTTCGCGGAGTGGCCGCTGGTGCGGGCTCACCCCGGCCCCCCCCCCCCCCGATCGCTCGGCGCGGTGCGATGGTGGCTGCCTGCGCGCTTGGGCTTGGCCACCCTGCGCCCCCTCAGCCCGCGCACTGAAGGTCACTCTGGCCCAGGGCTCTTGGCCTCCTCGTCGGGGGCGGCCAAGAGTCGCCATGCGGGAAATGGATCCTGAGGGAAACGGGTCCCGAGATTCGTTGCCGTCTTCGAGCTCCCGGAGCCCTCCACGGGCCCTGGGACTGTCGGAAAACGGCTCAGGAAGAAGAACTCGTCCTGGGGGAAGGCCCCAGGTTCCAGGACCCGTTTCCCACAGGACCCGTTTCCCCCATGCAAACGCGTCGGGGGCGGCCAAGAGCGGGGTGATGACTAGGAGGGGGCGGTAATTATCATGGCCAGGGCCATGATATCGCCTCAGACTGCCGGGGACCCTTCTTACTTTACTACGTCCCCTGGCCCTCCCTGGGCCGCGCACATGTTTCGGGCCATGATTTGCGACCCCCCCCTCTTGGACGCCCCTCTCTTGGACGTTCCCGATCTCGATCCGGGAATATCTTCCCGTTGCTGCAGCAGGCTCGTCGTTCTCAGCCTTCCAGCTTCCGTCCATCCCCCGCCACCCCTGCTGCTGCTCTTCATTCCCCTCTTCGCTCTGCTCCTCTCCTCCCAGTGCCTTTTTCGATTCGATCCGGTTCGATATCGAGTTCGTTGGGTTCGGCCCGATGCGATTCCGATGTTCCATCGATCGGGTGCGGCCAGATTCTTGCATGGGCGCTGGTGTGCATCCTGATGCGGCGGATCCGATTCGATTCCGACTTCGTGCCTATGCGGGGCCCGATCCGACGCATCTTCCGATGCCAAATCCGATCAGATTTCCCGATTCGATGCTGATTCCTCTCGCTTCGCGGGGTGCACGACCGGAGCACGTACAGTCATGTCGTTTCGGGGCCTCTTGCGGGCCTCCTGGAGGCCTCCTGGGAGTTTCTTTTGGCCTCTTGGGGACTTCTTGGGGGCCTTTTCCCCCCTCCATCCTTTTCATACACCCTCCCCATCTTCCCTTCCAGCGCCAGCTCTAATCATGGGCGCCGCAGTGACCAACTTCCACTTGGCTTGCGCCGCGCCGCAGTTCACTCCAGTCGCTGTGTGGCCTTTGTGGGGTTTGTTGGGGGCCTTTTGGGAGCTTCTGGGTGACTTCTTGGAGGCCTCTAGGGGGTCTCTTGGGGCCTCTTGGGGGCGTCTTGGGGCGCTTTTGCGCCGTTTCGGCTCTTCGGAGGCTGCCTTGGGGGCCTCTCGCGGCCGCATTGGGGCCCTCTTGGGGTCCTCTTGGGCCGTCTTCGCGGCCTCTTGGACCGTCTTGGGGGCCTCTTTGGGCCGTTTTGGGGTCCTCTTGGGCCGTCTTGGGGCCCTTTTGGGTTTT